AATACAATACAATGCAGCGCAATACAATGCAGTACACTGCAGTACAATACAATGCAGTGCAATAAAGTACGATGCAGTGCAATATAATATAATACAGTGCAATGCAGTACAATATAATGCAATATAATACAATGCAGTGCAATACAATAAAATGCAGTACAATACAATACAATGATGTGCTATACAATACAATACAATACAGTGCAATGAAATGCAATTCAATGCTATGAATGTACACCTTCTACAGTCAAATAAACACAGATAAAATTGTGTTGCACTGCATTTGTATTACACTGCATTGTTTTGAATTGCACTGCAATATATTGCACTGCACCATATTGTATTGCATTGCATTGCAGTGCACTGTATTGTATTATATTGAACTGTATTGTAATTCATTGTCTTGAATTACACTGCATTTTATTAAACATCATTGTTTTGTATTGCACTGTATTGTATTGCATTGTATTGAATTGCACTGTATTGTATTGTATTGCACTGTATTGAACTGCGATGTATTGTATTGCACTGTATTGTATTGCACTGCACTGAACTGCGATGTATTGTATTGCACTGTATTGTATTGTTCTGCACTGTATTGAACTGCGATGTATTGTATTGCACTGCATTGTATTGCACTGTACCACATTGTATTGCACTGCATTGTATTGAAATGAACTACATTGTAACTGTATTGTATTTTATTGCACTGCATTGCACTACATTGTATTGCACTGTATTGAACTGCGATGTATTGTATTGCATTGCATTGTATTGCACTGTACCACATTGTGTTGCACTGTATTGTATTACACTGCATTGTTTTGTATTGCACAGCAATATATTGCACTGCACCATATTGTATTGCACTACATTGCAATGCACTGCATTGTATTATATTGCACTGTATTGTATTGCACAGTATTTTATTGCATTGTCTTGAATTACACTGCATTTTATTACACTGCATTGCATTTTATTGCAGTGTAATGTATTGTATTGCACAGCATTGTATTGTATTGCACTGTGTTGTATTGCATTGTATTGAATTGCACTGTATTGTATTGTATTGCACTGCATTGTATTGCACTGTACCACATTGTATTGCACTGCATTGTATTGAAATGAACTACATTGTATTGCACTGCACGGCATTGTTTTGCATTGTATTGCATTGCACTGCATTGCATTGCATTATATTGCACTGTATTGTATTGCATCGTTTTGCACTGCATTTTATTGTATTATATTGCGATACATTGTATTGTATCATATTGCACTGCATTTTTTGCATCATATAACACTGCTTTGTATTGCAATATATTACACTACATTGTATTGCATCATATTGCACTGCATTGTATTGCATCATATTGCTCTGCATTGTATTGCATCATATTGCACCGCATTGTATTACATCATATTGCACCACATTGTATTGCATCATATTGCACTGCATTGTATAACATCATATTGCACTGCATTGTATTGCATCATATTCCGTATTTACCATTTTGTTACAGTTTTATTACATAAAATGTTATTTATAAGATTATAATTTTCAAACATTGAAAATATTTTATACAATATCAATTAAAAGATATGAAATGGCCCAAAATAATATATTTTCAATGGAACCCTTTGCAAGGGTCACTTCAACATAACGCCACGTGTAATCTGTATGCATACGCCCTCTTTTAATGAACATTATCTTTGAAACCATATTAGAATCGAATCTGATAAAAGTGCGCATGTCCTGGGTGTGCTGCGCGCTAGAATCGGGAAATCTCAAAGTTCTCCTCGTTGGAGCCATCAAAATTATCCAAAATTGTCATTTCGCTGGCTCACTCCGCAGTCTTTCGAAAACATCAAATTCGTGGTGCCACGAATTTTTATTCGTTATTTATTCACAGATAATCATTTTTTCATCGCGCACTGAATGCCGGAATTTGTGCGCACTTTATTTTAATTAACTTTGCACAACGCGGCCCCTGTAATTCATTCAGTGCGCGATGAAATCTATCTGACTGGGCCGCGGTGTGTGATATCACTCCCATGTTAAAACTCCATTCGATTTTGAATTATGCGCATGTCCCCTATCGCTTTCCGTAGAAAACATATATCGCAGTCAAAAAAAGTCTGATTACCCTGTAAAAACCTTTTGGAAAGTACATTCACTATACACATGTATAAATAAAATATTGTCTATTTTCAAAAGAAAATAAATTGAACCAGCTTTTATTTTTATTTTATGAAAACATAGAGATTGACATAATGTGTGATTTTCAAGCAATTTCTGACATGAAAACCCAAATTTCAACTATGAAACTCAGCCACCGATCACCTCGATTTTCGCACCAGCGTATTCTTTTATCTGTAATTATAGCTACTACGATTCCAGAAAAATATTTGTTTCATGCCACAAAAATACCGGGGGGAAATCCGACCCCCCCGCCCATTAGGGTTAAAAGAATTTAACTGGTATTCTTGACATTCTAGGTTCTTGTTGTGGGTCTACCTTCTTAGAATTTGAATGTTAATCAATCTTTGGCCTACATATTTTACAGGCCGAGCAAAAATGTGCGACTCACCTTCTACTGTTCTAGCCATGAGCGTTTAAGAAAAACACCATGGTTCCAGCAAATAACTTTGTAAATCACCCGGTCAATATGGTTCGCAGTTAGGTACTGTTCGTTCAATCTTGCTATGTTTTAACAGTGCGTGATCTGACATTAAAAAATTTACTTTATTGTACAATAAATATTTCATAGTTATAAGAAAAGCCGTTTTATGAGGTATCATTCTTTCTTTCTTACCCTGCCTAGTTATAAACTACCGAAGACGAAGCTCTCTAAGAAGTGAAGTCGAACGAATGCAAAGGGTATTTCTTTCTATGCATTCAAACAGACCAGAACTGACTTGCAAATTTTGCTCACCCTGTATAGATACGTAAGTTTGCACAAGTATAAAAACACAGAAAAATGAATTCGAGATATCAGAAGTGGATATCACCGCTTTACTAAGAATTCTGTCCGTGTGGCATGATTTGAAAGTAATAGGAGATGATTATAGAACTGTTGTTTATAGTTTATACAGAAACGTAAAAATACAGAAAATTAATTTTAGACACTACATTAATGTAATTCAAAGAATGATGTGTTGTAAAGGATAATTTTAGGCATCTAATAAAAATCTAAATTGAAGTATGACCTGCAGAGGTGGAAATCACAATTCGAGGACAATAAATTCGAGAAGTCACGGGGACCCAGACAATCATATCCTTAATCATATCCTTAAACGCACGGGCCTAAGATAGTCTTGATTACACGAGTATAAGGGACTACTTCTATATCAGGCTGGTCATACCCGCCCCCTCTGATTGACACAGTTCTTAGTCACTCGACCAAAGCACATGAATGCAACAATGGTCCACAAGAGCATGATACGTGGGTGTCCATAGACAATGCAGTGTGTAGCGACTCACTGGCGGATCAGATTTCCAAAAAAAAGAAATATATAAGCCCCATCCTTTGGTGATTTGGCTTAAAAAGGCCTAAAGAAGGCCAAGTTATGCCAAAAGGCCCACTAATTGAGGCCCTCCACTAGTTGAAGCGCTACAGAACTTTTGGGCCCAAAATGTTTTTAGTGAGCCAATTTTTTTCTGGGCCCACCAACCGGGGCCCCACGCCCCGCCCCTTGCCCCCCTCGCCCCCTGGATCGTCCAGTGCGACTCAGGATACACATTTCAGAAACACTATAGCCGGGATGATATGTTATCGAATTGGGCCAATGTCACGCTGATACAAGCAGGTGACTTGCTTCTGTTTGAATTTGGCAATTTTCGAAATTCATCAAATTTTGAATGTACTTCTGATCTAGTATGTAATTCAAATTAAAACACGAACAGTTACCAAACTCTGGGAGGGGAGTCTAGTTCTATGTATATGTAAAAATACAATGTTTTTTGCAGAGGTGGGTATTAACAAAACGATAAACAACCAAATACCTTTTTTAAACTTCATGCATGATTTTTAGTAAAGCATATTCCCAATTTTTGCCATCTGTGATTCTTCGTCCCTCAAAAATATTGAAACTCTATAAAGGATTGGTATCGATATGGTAAACTGAATTCAACAATGTTTTTCTCTCAAATCGATTACTTGAAAACATTCTGTAAAGAAACACGGTCTATCATGTAATATTGACTGATTGACAACAATTTAATACAGAAACAATAATTTATATACATTTTATTTAACTGTTTTTGTTAACATTTTTTGCTTTTTAGTGCAATTGTTTTTTGTTCCTTTTTACCTATTCTTGAGAATGAAATAAGATATCTTTCCGAAGCTTGTTGGAACAAAATATTATATACAACATTTAGATCTTAGACTTCTCAACATCATATACTAGTACTAGTTATATACAAAGGACATTTTGGTTGATTGAACAAAAAGTATTCAAAAAATTATAACAAAACCCCCCAAATCGATAAAAAGTAAGATAAAGATCACCATTCAAAAGATGACCATTAAATTGACAATCAATGTGTAAAATTTTCAGAATTTTTTGATGACTGGTTTAAGAGAAACGTGTGTTCAAAAAGTTCACCATATCGATACCCATCCTTTATATTTAAAGATTATGAAATGAGAAGGAAAAATTAGAATATCTTTTCTCACGTCTAAATTAATACCATTTCTAGGTTTTGTGTTATATTGTCTTATCTTTAACACAAGGAGCTCCGTTTCGTTTAGCGAGAAAATGGAGTAGGTGGTGCCTTGATTCAGAAAGTTTCGCGAGTATGGCGTAGGCGTAGATAGCGTAAATAAGAGGGTTGGGGTGACCATCACTGCCCGCTTTACTCAGAAATCAACCTTGAGAACATTTGTTAGCAGGAGTGTTATGTTTATAAGCTTATCTTATTCATTTTTCTTCGAAACACAACACATTAAATAAATAACTTTAGAAATTGTATATGATCGATAGATGGCAAGCCCCTTGAGAAGCGTAGTGCTATATAAAGAAACGTACAACATTTTAACCCAAAAGCAGGGACAGAATCGGGCAGACATCTAAAGGCACGCATTGATTGAGGTAACGTCTAAAGATATTTATTATATTATGATAGCATTCTTAATATAACCCTTCATGTAGTTAACATATTGACAATGTTATTGTTTTTTTACAAAAGTGCAAAAAATTATTTGTAAATATTACTCAATTTATCAGCATTTAACTTTGCTAGAATATCTTATTAGACCGTTTAGGCTCTTGACTAATTGTTGTTAGACACTTTATTTGTGCTTTTTATTGTCTTAATTTTTCCGATTTGACTATTTACATCTGCATATTAGACTCTTTTCCTATTCTTAATAGACGTTTACATGAGTTTTGTTAGACTACAGTACTTAGACTTGTTCTGAATTGACTATACATGTGAACTTGATTTTGTTAGCGTCTGTACATCTTCTTATTAGGCTTTTACTTGTTCGTATTAGACTATTAGACTCTTTACTTGTTCGTATTCGACTCTTTGCATGTTCGTATTAGAATATTTACTTGTTCGTATTCGACTCTTTGCATGTTCGTATTAGAATATTTACTTGTTCGTATTCGACTCTTTGCATGTTCGTATTAGAATATTTACTTGTTCGTATTCGACTCTTTGCATGTTCGTATTATAATATTTACTTGTTCGTATTCGACTCTTTGCATGTTCGTATTAGAATATTTACTTGTTCGTATTAGACTCTTTGCATGGTCGTTTTAGCCTCTTTACTTGTTTGTATTCGACCCTTTGCATTTTGTATTAGACTATTTGCTTGTTCGTATTCAGCTCTTTGCATGTTCGTATTAGACTATTAACTTGTTCGTATTAGATTCTTTGCATGTTCGTTTTAGACTCTTTACTTGTTCGTATTCAGCTCTTTGCATGTTGGTATTATACTATTTACTTGTTCGTATTCAGCTCTTTGCATGTTGGTATTAGACTATTTACTTGTTCGTATTCGACTCTTTGCGTTATCGTATTAGACTATTTACTTGCTCGTATTAGATTCTTAGCATCTTCGTATTGGACTATTTACTTTTTCGTATTAGTCTCTTTGCATGTTCGCATTAGACTCTTTAATTGTTCGTATTCGACTCTTTACTTGTTCGTACTAAACTCTTTGCATGTTCATATTAGACTATTTACTTGTTCGCATTAGACTCTTCGCATGCTTGTAAAATACTATTAAATAGTTCTAAATAGATTGTGTTGACTGTATTGCAGAGTATTGATTATATTGCAGTGTGGTGATTTTATTACAGAGGAGATATTGCATTGCAGATCGGTGACTGTTTTGCAGAATTGTGATATTACAGAGAAGCTATTGCATTGCAAATTGGTCTGTATTGCGGAATTGTGATTGCATTTCAGAGTGATTTTATTTCAAAGAAACATTTTGGATTGTACATTGGTGACTGTACTGCAGATTATTGACAATTTTGCAGAGTGGTGATTTTATAACAAAGAAGCAATTGTATTGCAGGTTGGTGACTGTACAGAGAGGAGAATGTATTGCAGAGTGGTAATTATATGGCAGAGAAGTGATTACATTGCAGAAGAGCGGAGAGTTTTCACAGAGTAGTGAAGATTGTTATTGATAATGTTTGACTCAACAATGAAGACACTGCATTGATAAATGAATGACACTACTTGTATGTACTTTTATGTTACAGAACTACAGTTGTTCCTTTCACACCACTCCAAACTACGATGGATTCTATTTTGTGCGATATATGCAAGGAAAGTGGCGATACTACCACGGCCGAGTCACGTTGTATCGAATGCGCAACGTTCTTATGCAAGTACTGTGAAAGGGCACACCGAAGATTCACGCAGACGAAATCACACCAAGTGTACAAGCTAACTGGAACTTCCAAAAAAGACAGAGAGAGGGCCAGAAAAGAGAGTAAATTACGCGACGTCAATTGCGACAAACATACTGACGAAGAGCTGAATTTGTTCTGTACTGATGACCAAACCGTCGTATGTAACGTTTGTGCAAGAGAAAACCACCCTGGTCACAATATCGTGGATATCGAAGAAGTAGCAGATGACGAGAAAACTAATCTAAGACTTTTGCAAGGACTTGCTATCCAACGAAAGGCACTGCTCGATGACAATCTAGAAGACTCGAAGGTAGCTTTGCAAGAGTATGATCGAAAAACCAGAGCGCTTTTAGATGCCATTAATGCCGACTATGACGCCAAACGTCGTGAGCTGGAACAACATTTCGATATGCTACGTAATAATGCAAAGGCTAAAACTGATGTGGAAGTTGATAAGAAAAAAGCCAAACAAAGAGTCATAGAAGGTGACATTAATATTACCGAAGACACTAAACAAGCAGCGACTGATCTTATTGCCGACGGCCATCCTATTGAAATTATGAGAGCTAGCAAAGGAACAACAAAGAAGCTGAATGATTGGAAAGAACTGCCTGAAAAAGATACCGTAGAAATGCATACGTTCACCTATGAACCGGGAACCCTTGACCTAACGAACATGGGTCATGTAAAACGGGAACTGAGGAATTTGTGCGAGCCGAAGATCGAAAAAAGAACGAATGTGGGCACAGCCTTTACGGGAGGCTCTATAGGGCATGACAACAACATCGTAGTTTGTACCTCTACTCATATTTACACGTACGATGTCGACAGTTTCGTTAAACAACATACTAGTACAGCAGATGGCACATTCTACGATGTCTGTCGTATCCAATGAAACCGTTATGCAGCAACGGATTCTAAAAATAAATGCATCACTATTTTCGATAAGAACCTGGCCCGTGTAAAGAGCATTGGTAATTTCCAAATTCCCCACGGTATATACGCTGCCCCGAAGGGACAACTACTTGTGACGGACAAAGGAGCCAAATGTGTATTTCTTATTGACAGCGATACTGGCGCTCAAGTGGCTACCATTGGGAAAGGAAAGTTCGATCATCCAGAAAATGTCGTCATTACTAGCAACAACATTGTTGTAATTTCCGATTACACTAAATCGTTTGTGAAAGGCTTCACATTGAACGATGACGAGGTTTTCAGCTTTGGATCGTACGGTACAGGGAACGGGCAAATGCGTAATCCATGGGGAATGACGATCGATGCAAATGATTACGTTCTAGTGGCTGACTATACCAACAGCAGGACCCTTATTCTTGATGACAACGGAAAATTCGTCAAATACTTAGCGACCCCTGGGCAAGTGAATAACCCAAAAGTTGTTTTGCTGGATCACCACGACAACGCCGTCATTAGTAGACACCCAGAATTGGTCACTGTAAAATATTTGGAGTAAAACGACAGCCAATTCTACAGGTATTTATTATTTATAAAAAATAATTTATTAATTGTTTATTAAAAACCCCAAAAATGATTCCTATATACACGTAGAATACTTCGATTATAAATTTTAACAATCTAAGATATGTTTAATTGTAGACATTTAAGCTTGATTATTCCTAAAACATTCCTTTCTCTTCGCTCGGTTAATGAAAGTATAAGGGTTAGAGATTGTAAAATGCAATATTATATATACTAAGTTTTAAAATCGTAATATAAATGGCTTATATTATGTAAATAAATTAAGAAATACCCTTTTTAAATGTTTTTAGAAAATCGAAAAACAGTGACACATTTTTAATATTAATTTTTTCTCTTTTCAGATAGCTAGACCAATGGCAGTTATTGACAGTATACGAATGAATTGAACTTGCGTTATTCATCGGCACAAACATTTATATTCATACTTTCTTGTTACTATTGAAAGTTGTTATAGTGTCATTTAGAGTTGAGTGTCACTGGTTAACATTTGGTACATACAGACACTGTACATAAATATAACATTTAAGAAAAGTCAATATCGGCTTATAAAACACTGGACTTTAAAGATCAATTCAGATGCATTTTGCATATATTGATAAATAGTAAGAAATCCATATGTATAATAAAATAATTGACATGTTAAAATTTATGAAAGATTATATGGTATTATTGAATACAAAATGAAACGGGGCATTGGCACTTATTGCAATGAATTCGGTACATAAGGATATCTCAAATTATTATATTGCAGTCAACCGTTCAAGGTCAAATTGTCTTTTCATAAACATTTTGTATAAAGAGCAGCCCATTGTTTCTGGGTTGATTTCGAGTGCATGCACGAGGCTTATGAATAAAAAATATATAACTCATTGTCAGAATTTGTTTTTATATGTGGTATTGAGATGTCAGTTACAGTTTTATAAAAATGTGATCTCAAGATGGAGCATTGTTTACAATGGATGGCAAAATGGATTTCATCTTCAACAAAATTACAATCACAATTTACATGTTCGATCATCCAATGCTGTATTCGATTTTGTGAGGAAGCCAAATGTTTGGTTTGAAACACAATAAAATAGTAGATGGGTTAACTACATTTGGACTTCATTGTATGATACAAATGTCCCCTTTGGCATGGAAGTACCTTGGGGCAATAGAAATAAATTTATCCAAAGACACAAGCTAGATGGCGCTTTATATTGGAAATATACACATTTTTCAAAATGGCCGCCAAAAATTCATCAGAGACAATATCTTTGATTCTGTACATGCTACAATTATAAGATTGGTGTCAAAAATACAGCGATGTAGTCGTAGAATCTATTTTATTAGATCTTGAGTCTTGAAAATTAAGAACTTCCACTTTATATTCAAAATATACGCGTTTTTCAAAATGACTGCCAGAAATATAGCAAAGAAGATATCTTGACTTACGAATACTTACAAATTAAGATATCTTACCTTACAAAATGTCCCCTTTGGCATGGACATACCTAAGGGCAATAGAAACAAAATAATCCAAAAATACAAGCTAGATGGCGCTTATATTGGAAATATATATACACATTTTTCAAAATGGCCGCCAAAAATACATCAGAGACAATAGTTTTGCTTCTGTGCATGCTACAGTTATAAGAGTGGTGTCAAAAAAAATTAATGTAGTTGTAGAATCTATTTGATTAGGTTTCGAGTCTTGTTAATTAAGCACTTGCACTTTATATTCAAAATATATGCATTTTTCAAAATGGCTGCCAGAAATATAACAAAGAAGATATCTTCGCTTCTAAGCATGCTACAATGATAAGAGTGGTGTCAAAGTATACATAATATTGGGTTGTAGAATCCATTTATAGTCTGGCAGAAATATAGGGTATTTTGACATTCAATCGTTTTCTTCGGATTACAATGTTTTTTTAACTTATCAACATGAATAAAGGATTGGGACCTCAAAACCACCAGATGCAGGTGCGGCACCCTTGGGCAACTCTCTACAGAGCATTTCTTATACCCCCCTGATAAAATATACAGGGGGTACTATAAGACACCCTCATATCTCAGATACTGATAAATATATTAACTTGAGATTTTCAGGAATTAGTTTTAGTATGATGCTTGACACATGTGACAAAAATCAAGAAAAAATCTTAATCCGTTGCTATAGCAACAGTAATAGAACACTATTTGTTACCGTAGAGATGCATTATTTTGCTGATTTTCAACATTCCTTCATATAGTTGATTCTTAAACTAGTATATAGTATTACACTAGTATATAGGACACTGCAGATTTTATATTTAGTATATACATGTATATCAAATGAAATCTAATGAAATTATACAGTAGTGAGGTTGGCATACATGTATAGTCTAGACTTTGGCATTTAGAACATGCATCATAATAAAATCTAATGTTATTATACAATAGAGAGGTTGGCATAGTCTAGATTTTGGCATAATGTCTAAATTTTATAAGCATTGGCTTTCCTCATCTGAGCAATCGGACTACTGTATAGCTGTATAGCCTGTATAGCTTCTGGGGGCCACTGGGGATCATCGTATAGCTTTTAAAGGCACTGTGAATATTTGATTTAACATTGAATTCAATTGGATATTTCTCTAACAGTGAAATTTAATGGCCATGAAACATTTCAGATTGACAACATCGTGAATTTTTTGTCAGTGAAAATTTGGGCTTACTTCTGGGGGCCACTGGGGGCCCTCGTATGGTTTCTTGGGGCCACTGGGGGCCCCTGTATAATTTCTAAGGCCACCATATAGCTTTTTTGGGCCACTAGGGGCCCCTGTATAGCTTCCAGGGGCTCCTGTTTAGTTTCTTGGGGACACTGGGGGGCCAACATATAGTTTTTGGGAGCCACGGTATAGCTTCTGGGGGCCCTGTATAGTTTTCTTGGGGCCATTGGGGGCCACCGTACAGCTTCTGGGGGCTACCATATAGTTTCTGGGGGCCACTAGATGCCATCCTATAGCTTCTGGCGGCTACTTGGGGCCACCATATAGCTTCTGGGTGCCATCATATAGCTTATGGGGCCTACCATATAGCTTCTTAGGGCCACTGTAAAGCTTGTTGGAGCCACTGGGGACCACCACGAAGCTTCTGGGGGCTACTAGGGGCCCCTGGATATGCTTCTGGGGCCACTATATAGCTTTCCGGGGCCACCGTATAGCTTTAAGGGGGCTCTAGGGGCCACTGTATAGATTCTGGGGGCCCCTGTATAGCTTCTGGAAGTCACCATATAGCTTTTAGGGGCCATTTGGAGCCCCTGTATAGCTTCCGGGGGGCTTCCATATAGCTTCTGGAGGCTACTAGGGGTCCCTGTATAGCTTCTGGGGGCTCCTGTTAAGCTTCTTGGGGACACTGGGGGGCCACCATATAGTTTTTGGGAGCCACCGTATAGCTTCTGGGGGCCCTTGTACAGTTTCTTGGGGCCATTCGGGGCTACCGTACAGCTTCTGGGGGCTACCATATAGCTTCTGGGGGCCACTGAATGCCATCCTATAGCTTCTGGCGGCTACTTGGGGCCACCGTATAGCTTCTGGGTGACATCATATAGCTTCTGGGGCCTACCATATAGCTTCTTGGGGCCACTAGGGGCCCCTGTATAGCTTTTTGGGGCCACTGTAAAGCTTCTTGGAGCCACTGGGGACCACCATATAGCTTCTGGGGGCTACTAGGGGCCGCTGGGTATGCTTCTGGGGGCCACCATATAGCTTTCCGGGGCCACTGTATAGCTTTAAGGGGGCACTAGGGGCCACTGTATAGATTCTGGGGGCTACTGGGGGCCCCTGTATAGCTTCTGGAAGTCATCATATAGCTTCTAGGGGCCATTTGGAGCCTCTGTATAGCTTCTGGGGGCTACCATATAACTTCTGGGGGCTACTAGGGGTTCCTGTATAGCTTCTGGGGGCCACCTTATAGCATCTCGGGGCCAATGTGGGCCCCTGTATAGCTTCTGGGGCCACTGGGGTCCATGGTATAGCTTCTGGGGGCCATTGAAAATTAATCTATTTTGCAAGATTTGGTGGCTGTCGAGGTGGGGTAAAATTAAATTATAATTTTTTTTTCAAATTCATGTGACTATTTATCTCTAAAGCAGCACATTTTTACCTAGGGAGCATAACCTTTTCAAGAAGTGTTATTTTGGACCACCTTTTCAAAGAAAGTAAAATGTAAAAACCTGATTATTAAGTGATGTTATCATAGCAACTGAAATGTTAGATATATTACATAAACCATATGATGAATTATTTCATCTTTACTTCTAATCATGTATATAACAGATACGTGTATACTTCAGATGCTTTAAGAATCAAGAATATGAAGAAAATTATGAAAATCAGCAAAATAATGCATTTCTATGGTAACAAATAGTGTCTATTTCTGTTGCTATAGCAACGGATTAAGATTTTTTCTTGATTTTTGTCACATGTGTCAAGCATCATACTAAAACCAATTCCTGAAAATTTCAAGTTAATGTATTTATTAGTGTCTGAGATATGAGGGTATCTTATAGTACCCCCTGTATATTTTATCAGGGGGGTATAAGAAATGCTCTGTAGAGAGTTGCCCAAGGTTGCCGCTCCGGCATCCAATGGTTTTGAGGTCCCAACCCTATATTCATGCTGATAAGTTAAAAAAACATTGTAATCCGAAGAAAACGATTAGCTTTGAAGTTTCTGCCAGACTATTAAATAGGTCTTTCATAATAAGAATTTTCACTTTACAGGAAATTATTCGTTTTTAAAAATGGCCACCAGAAATATAACAATGATGATATCTTCACATCCGTGCATGCTACACGCTGATACGATTGGTGTCAAAATTTTATATTTATGGGGTAGGAGAATCAATTTTATTAAGTCTGGTGAGATTATAGTTTTCACTTTATATTGGAAGTATATGCAGCTGAAAATATAACAAAGATTGTATCTTTGCTAACAAAGATTGTACCTTTGCTAACAAAGATTGTATCTTTGCTAACAAAAATCGTATCTTTGCTAAAAGTCTCTGGGACATTTTGAATTTTCTGAGGCATTAATCATAAAATTAACACCATCTTCAATTTAATTTAGTACATATTGCCATACTTTTAAGGAATTTGACAATAATTGCAAAATCATACATGAAACAGACAATGACTGACGGACGGAGGGCTTCACTATATCCCCACTGAACTTTCTTCATTGGGAAAATAAAGACTATAAACCTTATCAAATGAATTCTACAACACATTAATGTATTCTTGGACATCAATCTTACTATTGTAGCATGCATACAAGTGAAGATATCATCTTTGTTACATCTCTGGCAGCCATTTTGAAAAAGGCATAATTTTTTGATATAAAGAGGAAGTTCCTAATTTTCAAGACTCAAACCCATACTATATTGATTCTTCACCCACAAAATGTATATTTAGGCACCAATCGAATATTATAGTATGCATAGAAGAAAATATATCGTCTCCGTTGTTTTTTGGCGGCCATTTTGAAAAATTTGAATATTTCCAATATAAAGCGCCACCTGGCGTGTGTCTTTGGATAAATTTGATTCTATGGTCCTAAGGTACTCTCATATCAAAGGAAACAAGGAAACGTTTGCATCATAGATTGAAGTCCAGACCCCCTAAAATGCAGTTAACCCATCTACTAAAACCTTGAATCTTGAATCTATGTTAGCAAATTGACTATATATACCTGTAACTGGGGCAATGTCACTCTAACACTAGCAGTCTACTTACAGGTGTACAAAATTCAGTAAAAGCGATGCCATATTTGAAATTTACATGTAAAAGTACATCTAGAAATATGGTTTCGAAAATTGTTTATCAACTTTGAAATTTTTTTAAATGTGACTTTTAGTTTGGGTTGACCCCCGTCGACCCCGACGTGTTACAAAAGTGAAATATCTTTTCTTGTATTTGACAGATAAACATATTATTTTACTCCACATATTTTAATTTGCATATAACTATTAGATGCATAAGGGTTATATGGAAATTGAACCACTAAACAGATTTAGTTAAAGTTAAAGGGAACTTTCTTCTATACCCACCATGCTTTCTGATCCGACCGAGCCACCTGGTGGTGAAACTGGCAACTACACGTACCTACTCGCATCTGCGTTATTATATAGGATTGCTCCTCTAATCGCAATTGATTTTCGACCAGTTTCAGGCAGTTGATGTTAAATTGTATTAAACTGGTATCATGGGTGTGTATGTCTGTATTCTCTTGGAAAAATGCTTAACATCATGAAATCTGAATTCTGCAGATTCAACCAGTAATTACAGTATTCAAATTCATATATAGATGTCTCCATCTTACTTACGGGTCCTCAGCCTTCTCTATATTCCGGTGTAAAAGGGTAGGAGGTCCGATCAAATTATGGTCCTACTCTCCATTGATTTATATGGTGACCTAAATACAACTCTTTCCCTCATTATCTTATACGCAATCAGGGCCAGTAAGGGCCGTTAAGAAAGGGGACCATAATCCCTGGGGGACCATCATTCCTTTCACACCGGGTTTAGAGTGTTTTGCATTTCGTTCAGTTTATGGCGCCTCTACCGGCAAAAGTTAAAATAGCACTGGTTTCGAGACTATTTAAGTACGGGTCAAGGGATGCAGGATAAATGAGTCGGAGGATGATATATCCCCTGGGTTTTATACAGCATTTTATTGTTTTAAGTTTAAATCTGGGCTGTAGCCGGTTTAAAAGGGTAGAAGGTCCTATCAAATTATGGTCCTACTTTCCATTGATTTATATGGTGACCTAAATACAACTCTTTCCCTTATTATCGTATCCACAATTAGGGCCAGTAAGGGCCTTTAAGAAAGGGGACCATAATCCCCAGGGGACCATAATTTCTTTCACACCGGGATTTGACGGGGTGGGGGGGCATTTTTTAAAAAATCCAAGGGATCCACTTTTGAAATGGCCCAAAAATGACCAAAACAACTTGAAAAAGTGCTCAGAATGGTAAAAAATGCATGGTTTTGAAAGCATTTTTGGCAATGGTAGAGGGTCCTGGCTACGGGTCTGTTACATAAGTTTGTTAATGATAGATTCAAACTGATAGCATGGTCATACAACATGAAACTATCCTAAAAACAATACCACATTGCATTTGGAGCGTTCTGGGGGGTTTTAAAATACTAAATTCCAACTAATATGGACTAATAAAATGTAAATTATTGTCCCCCGGATCATATATTCAGAGAGGCTATATTTACTCTGAGACCGGATGCTCACATAAACAAAACATTCTGTCGTCTTTCACCCATTTCAATTAATCGGCAGTTGAATTCTCATATGGAAAGTGGATCGAAAGCCAATGAGAAAGTGTCAAACATAATTTGAGGCAAAATGTTCACGTTTTTCTGAGTAAAATTAAAAAAATAGCGACGGGTCAATTTTTTATAAAGCCACGACAAACTCAAGGGGGTATATGCGTAGCCGACGCGACCCCTGGCGACGGTCTTGCACTTTATTAGAACCTACAAGGGTTAATCAAAAGGTTTTGCACAAATGTATCTCATCATAAAAATAATGAACCAATCTTGTTCATATTTGGTAGGTATGTATCCCCATCTTATCCCTTTCACTGCCAAGTATTCATATCTTATATCAATACTTGTTTTCTTTGGTAATGCCAAAGAATGACCGTAAACATACTTTTCAAACATCTTGGACAAATCACCCGTTATTATGACGTTATCAAAGTTCTCATATGAATTAATGGAATATTGTGAGAATATGACAGAAAGTAATAAAATTGAAGCAGCTATTGATAAAATACACGATAAAGAATGGAAAAACTGTATTCCACACGTTAACTTCATTCATGCATTAAGACATATTGCATATGATGACTCCAATATAGACATTGCTAAGTATTCCAAAATATAATTAGACAAATGAAAATGTATTCAGAAGGTTTGACATCCCATAGGTAGGAGGGTTCAGACATGGTTTAAAAGACTGGACAGAATGCTACAAGTAATGCATTACTTCAAAGGAAGGCTACATAAGTACTCTATATTTTGATTGATTATAAATCGGTTATAACCACCGTGGTCAGAGGTAACGCGGCGCAGTCAAGCATATCTGTTCAAAACGAGGCTGCAACGCGGCAAAGACACAAAATGGCCACTCAGTGGAAGGTCGAAAGGGCGGTAAGTTTATTCATAAGCTTCATACACTAGTTTGTGTCTGCTACAGTTATAATAGCATATACCATTCGGTGGAGAACTTCACAGAGTATGTCTATGTGAAGCTTCTTGAAATTTAGTCAATCAGGGAAATACATTCCAAGTCAATCAAAGTCAATCACTTACTGAAATTTGACAATTGTGGCATTTTTCTAGCTTAAATTCTATGTTTTTGACTTTGTCACTTGACACATACCACGGTAATCTCTATTTCTTCAAAGTTTCATCACTGTTTGCCTTCTGTTAACCGATTCTGGGTGGAAAACCAGGTATATTTTGGAAACGCAGTTCAGACACTTCGGCAACGCGGGTTCAGACATCATACATATTTGACAAAACTGGAAACGCAGTGACAGCAATGCAGCTGATGTTCTATCGTGTATGCCTGCACCGCGTTGCCATACAATTTAATCTATGCTGCCGACGCGTTGCCATAATTGCTGAAAATGAATGCGCCGCGTTTCCGGCTAGTTCAATTTTGTAAGCAGATTGCGATGAAAATAAACAAAAGTTTCAATCTTAATTTGTATTGTACATTCTATAAGTATCAGGCTATTGAATGTCAATGTTAAATTTGCTCATGAGTGGCGAAATACCTCCTTAATTGGAATAAGAAGATAGGTCAAGAGAAATAGGATCGGGAAATCATATCTGCGTTGACTATTTCTTTACTCTGGTCAATGCCTGAACAGAAATTCTTATAGCTTTACATACCTTAAGGGGTTGATCACCGAGTGTGAAGCATGAGTTTTCAAAAACTTACCTATGTTTCGAGGAAACAGAGGACGAAGTGCCTCCGATAATTGGAGTTGCCTCCATTTTGTGTCTTTACCGCGTTGCAGCCTCGTTTTGAACAGATATGCTTGACTGCGCCGCGTTACCTATACCCACCTTGATAACGTCATGTTAACCTGACTAACTGTTAAAGAACAAAGATTGGCCGAACGATTTTAGCCTTTCAAGGCATTCACAAAATTAATTCAATTTAACAATGTCATTTGGACCACGAGACCATTGGTGAACAGTTTTAAAGTCAGAGTATCTCAGGAAGTGCATTGTATATGATCCTGACATTTTAGATATGAATGAAAGATAGGTGAAACTATACCCGTGGGACATTTCATGTAAAAATGATAAAATTTCTTCTCTCGAGAAGCTTTCGTGCAATACTTTTTGAACGACCCTTGTATTTTGTATGGAAAACCTACTCGTATGAAAAAAATGACTCGGTCATGTCGACCATACGTACAGGGTAGTGCATATTTTAACCAGGCATTAAACATTATGTGAAAACTGAAAAACTGAAAACAAAATATTGACTCTCAGTAGAACAATAACCAAGAGGATATATGCATTAGTATTAAACTTGATATTGTCGGGATCTTACAGGGCAGAGAAAACGATGGCTATGTCTTGTAGAGGTTGGAGAGGAAATGTTACTTGGTTAAAGATCGGTATATTTTTGGTAATTTGTGGAATCGGATACAGGTACGTGGTTCACGTGAATCTCCATTGTTTTTCACAGTCAAGTCCAGCATTTGGACGTAAACCTCAAATGATTGCTACAAATACGGTAGATATTGAGCTTCAAAAGATTGCAAATGACCCTGTGATTTCCTACCTAATGGTCAAGAACCTATATCTAAATCACACCAAAATGGCAAGTATGACGTCGTGTAACTTAGACGTGCACCTAATAACAAGTTTTCCGATGTTATACACACCGACGACTCTGAAAAATGGCGGTTTAGACAACGTCAAATTCCGGAGACAGTTGGAGTATTTGGAGACACTTTATAACAATGTCCAACATCCCTGCGTTGCAGGAATACATATTTTCGCTGATAAGGATCTCCCAATCTATCTAAATCAGCAACGTGTTGTCAACTTTTCTCCTTTAAAACATAAGCTAAAATTCAAGGAACTGAGTAGATCACCAAATATGAGCGAACTCTGGACATACGCTTGGACAAATTTACCTCAAAGGATAGTAGCTATTGCTAATGCAGATATATTCATTGGGGGCGGATTAGAGAAAATTGATGGGGACAGAATGAAAACAAAACATATTGCGTTCTCAATTACAAGACAACCACATCCAGCAGTTTGGCTTAATGATTCGTCCCTATGTGTTGAGGATTCACAAAACTTCTGCGACACTTATAAAGGCTCGCATGACTTTCATATGATGTACATGGACAAACCTTTTCCACGAGGTGTCATCCGAGCACTCGAATTCCAGATGAACTCATTGGGGGCAGAGAACGTGCTGATCCATATGTGGCAAAAGAAGCTGAATCTGACAGTGTTAAACCCGTGCAAGACTGTCACAATTGTACACAACCATTGCTCCGGACATAGAACGTACAGTGACAAACGCGTTGACAGAATACACGGATGGCTGATCGGACGAGTTAAAGGATCCGATAAACTGGACACAAAATAAACCAAAATAAATATTAAACTTGACAAAAAGCCGCCCCACGTCATAACCGACGTGTATGTATTGCGCACGCCTTATACTAGTGCAAAGTATGGTCAGACTGCTGTCATTTGCCCTAAGGTTCCAATACACCATTGGAAAGGTAGGAGTGTCAGCTTTAAGGATAAGGCCTGGTTTGCTGGTTACAAAGTTGAAAAATTAGTTCTCATCACCAAGGGGTAAAATCAAGAAATAAATCATAATTTTTGAAAACACGATTTTTTCCTCAATGATTGTATATTTCCCACTTTAGGCAGATATTTTGAATTCCCAAATTCAGAAATATATTTTTCGATTAGGTTTTAACGGTTTCAATCAAATTTCCATACAAGAACGACTCTTTCTATGAGACCCGAATGTGACAAGCAAACGAAACTATTTGTCTCAAAGGAAATAATTATATATTCCATGAGGGATGAACCCAATATCCAAACCGACCTCTGGAAGTTTCTCTATTTCTAATAAACTTTTGAGATTATGATAATTTGTTTGGTATTCAAATATAAGTGACCCATGTCCAGATACTTTCAAAAAATGCTTTTAAACAAATTGTGCCAATACCTTGTTGTGTAATAGAAAAAATCTATTTTTCCAGGTCATAAGCATTGTGCATTGGATTACATTTATACCAATCATATTTATACCCCCATTTACACATTTTTGCCGAAGGATTTTTCTTCCTATACGTTCCACTCCTGTCTCCTTGTTAATTGTCCACAAAAATTGGTATATGATTAATGATATTATTTTTTGAGGTGCTTTAAATACGATCAGTATATTTGTTAATTAATGTTACTAAAGATTTGATTAAAGTGACCTTTCCAATGAGGCTTATACTTCTTTTTGACAACAATTTTATCAATTCTTTCATTCTATTTATTTTATGGTTCCACTTCATTCCAATTTTGCTAGCTTTGCATGAATTAGAGAATGTGATTCCTAAAATTTTTAATTTGGCATTTTCTCCGTGTTTCCAAGTTATATTACCTGATGAATTCTATTAAACTATATAAACAATATAAAACATGCCACTAGACCGGGATTATGTTGTGTAACAGAAATTAACTATTTAACTACATCTAGACTACATTTAAAAGAAAGCACTTATATTTTGTTATACAGTAATGGTATTTACTCGTACAATTAATTTTAAGATGTACAATGTAGAAATTTATAGAAAACATACATTAATATTGCTCAGAGTGAAATCTTAAATGCTACGTATTCAAAATCTAACTCCAATACATAAAGGATATCCTATGATTTTTGAGGGATACCATTTTCTTCCATGAGTGGATATCGCTCATCTCCACGAGTGAATGCAGCGAGTGGAGATCGGCGATATCCAAGAGTGCCAGATAAAAATGATAGACGAGAAAATCATAGGATATCATATTTATCTGATGGTCGCTATTTTTATATGGACTTCAAATAATTAGACCTAAAAGTTGTTGTTTTCTAATTCTTTTCTATTTGTCATTTTATTTTCCGTGACCTTATTTTTATAAAATATTGCATGAAAAAAAACAAAATGCCAGTTACCTTCCCTTAACACGGTAGTGTTTATATCATTCCGCATTAGTCGTTTTGTTTACATTAATAGGGAATAAAGCATACCATTTTATGTAAAGTCTTGACCTTGTCCTATGGGAATAGGGATTATGCTTCGTTGCCAGATTTGACGACGATACTGTATAGCACATGCTCTAGGGAATCGATTCTACTTTCCATAGACATCAAATGCATCACTGTTGATAGAAGAGCGAAAAAGCCTTAGAGTCCAAACTACCTTTGTTTACATTCGCAAAAACATGATAAATTGACAAACGTTGTCATAACTTATTGAAACTTAAACTATTATATTGAAACCGATTTCATTTGCCGTTTTGCCGGCGACGGAGGACGGATACTTTAATAGTTCTTTACGAACCAAGCATGTTAAGTTGGTCCGTTATATCTCCAAGTATATGATTTAAACATTTTTAAAAACTCAATGCTAGTCCACTTGTTAATACGGAATGGGTCGAATCATGATTCAATCCATTCCATGAACAACTCATGTAGGGCTAAAATATTCATCGCCTGCATGCGATAATTGGAGTTTAAAAAAGTTATGACAACTTTTCTCATGTTTCTATGTTCTATCGACAGAGATGTGTTAGGTGTCCATAGAAAGTAAAATCAATTCCCTTGAGCAGGTGCCATGCAGTATTTTCGTCCGGATTTGCTGTGAAACATAATCTCAATTTCCGTAGGACAAGGTCACTATTTTTCTTAAAATAGTATGTTCTATTCCGTATTATGTTAACAAAACGACATGAATGATATGAACACTACCGTGTTAAGCGGTGGAAGATATCCTTGAACTTTTAATACACATTATCACCGACATTCGCTATAACAATTTTTTCAATTTAGTAATTTCAATACAGTAAATAAGTATATAATAACAATTAAGTATTTCGTAATAAACATATTTACAATTGCTTCCCAGCCTCATTTAGAAACTTACATAATGCTAACAATACTTTACTATCAGATTGTAACAGCTTGGCATATTTGAAAGTACTTATGTTTTTACAATAATATTGGGGTAAATATTGTTTTCTAATGCTTTTAACAGACTTACGTTGTAATATAAACTGAAATTCATCTCCCGTGTGAATAATTAGGGGCATGTTGACATACCCCGCGCACAACAGTTGAACTTAACAAATTCATTCGGATGTACCCTCATCTCTCCCATTTTTTCCCAACTCATCAATCAAAAGACGAGTACAAGTTGTAATTATGTTCCCTATGAATTTCTCTTTGATAAATAGCTAGACATAGAAAATATATACTAATAAACTGTTTGTTATGTTTGGGATCTGTTTCTTACATACATATAATGTAATCGGATTGAAACTTAAATTAAAGTGGATTGATACGAGCATTTTGCCCCTTTTGAATGATAAAATATGTGTTTAACGCTTTGTGAACCAAGAGAATAAAATCGTTCACCCTATCACAACACTGAACTTTACAACAGAATTCGGAGAAATGTTCAATAGCATTCATAACATGATGTCAGTCTACTCAATGGACGTAAATAATTGGGGGTGTGAGTCAAAAATCTTTAAAAGGCACAATTTGAGATATAGTGTTACCGCTTCAACAACCTCTAAAATCCTTGTTGTTTACCATCTTTTAGGCACCGGCGGTTCGGTGGGTTCAGATGAATCCCCGGTCAGGATCCCCCTCCCCCAAAAGCGGAACAATTACTCGAACAATTTGAAAACTTTATATATGACCAGTAGCGGGGTCAGATGTCCAGATATAAGCCCTTTTTTGTTCGGCTTTTTCAGGAAAGAAACAAACGTGGCACATTTGTAGAAACATATGATTTGAGTGGAAAAATGATTTCAGGGCAAGTGGTTAGGGGTGGTCTTCATGGATTTTTTTACCTCTGACCCCCACCCCTATCAGGTGGGGAGGGGGTAAATTATAATAAATAAATAAAAATGGTTTTAAAGTATTTTTGTTAGAATGACTTCATTTGGTGATTGCTTTGAGCCTTGAAATGATGTAAAACTTATTTTAGAAGTGGTATTTAGTAAGGAAAATACATTTTAACCCAATTATCTAGGAAAAATTCATTATTTAAAGGGCCAATTATGGGACGTCCATTACTGTATTTCAAGAATGTGATGACTAATAGTCTTAAAAAGATTCACAGTAATAGAAGTACGAGGGGTGATCCATAAGTCTTGGACGCCCTGCTCTTATTTTGTTGGTTTCTAATAAAATTACTTTAAACTTTCCAATAATAAAGATATATATATATATGAAGATATATATATTTTAAACAATCTTTCGACAAAATAGATAGAGCAAGTTTGTGGTGCAAATTACTGAATTATGGAATAACTGGTAAAATATTGAATTGTATCAAAGATGTATATTCCAATGCAAAATCATGCATTTCTGTTAATGAAGAAACATCTGAATATTTTCTCTGTATGAATGGTTTGAGAACTGGCTAAATTTTATCTCCATTATTATTCTCATTATTTGTAAATGATATGGAAGACTTTATCGTAAATAGCCAAGGTTGTCAATATTTGAAATTGCCTGAATGTATTGATTGCCTTTTTAAAATGTTTATTCTCATGTATTCTGATGACACTGTTATCTTATCAGAAACAAAGCAAGGTCTACAAAGTGGTCTTGATGCGTTAAAATCATATTGTGAGCAAAATAAACTTGTCGTTAATGCTAAAAAGACCAATGTTGTAATATTTTCTAAGAAAAAAACCAAAGAAACATTTAGATTTTTGTATGATGGAGAACAACTCCAAATTGAAGACTCATTCAAGTATTTGGGAGTCTGGTTCTCTTATAATGGTAACTTTAGCAAAAATGTTAATTTATTATTACGGAATGCAGAAAATGCTATGATACGACGTCAGATACTGTACATCGCGGCATTTTACTGCATTTTTACATGCGTACTTACTTTTAAAACCGCAATATCTCGACAGCAAAATCATATTTTTCTACAATTTTTCGTCATCAGTTGAACGCATATGTCCATAAAATATTTTGCCTATCAGAATTCCAAATAACTGATTTGGGACTTTTTAAATGAGAATCACGCAAGCCGTATTATGCGACTTTCTATGCTAAAACCGGGTGTGGACTGTAACATTTTGAAGAAAAATGATTTTAATTTTAAACGAAAAATGAAGATAACCTTTTCATTTCTTAACGGATCTTTCTCAAATTTTCACAATATTTAAATTCACCAGTTTGGAAAAGACAAACAGATTCTGTGTGATGACGTCATAATATAACAATGCTAACTTAACGCTTATATTTATGCAAAAAAAGTGTGGACAGGCAGAATTTCGTACCAACAAGATATATATTTTGGTCAATTAAACATTAAATCGTTTGAAAGGTGAATTATTCTTTTTTGATTCCTGAAAGGCATATCATATTCTATATTTTTATCAAAAAACTATATCATTTAGATTAAAATTCAGTCTGTAAGAAGCATAAATTGAAAGAAATATGAAGTGAAGCCATGTGAAAAATTCGCAAAATTACGTTTCATTTTTTGAGTTCAAATATTTCTAATTAAGAGATAAACAATCAAAGCTTTCCAATGTTTCAGCATATTCTTTTAAATATATCCCTTACTACATACAATTAATTTCATATAATTTGATCCAGTATATATTGAGATAGACATCATTTTATCACCGCAACCCCAAGTGAAGCCTTTACAAAATAAGACGTTACGCCGTTAGCGTATTATATGTTCTCCTTTATTATTCATTGCTTTAAATAAATAAAACTAAATATTCGAGTTAAAATAAATTACAAATAATGCATTTAACAATCCTTAATATCTTTCCGTCTGTGTATATCAGTTGAATATGACAAGGGGCACTGTGAAAGAGTCTAGAAAGACGGTGCGACAACGAGAGCGCAGGGCCGAAAAGCGCGACAAA